AGTAGACCCCCCCCCTAGAAATTTTAACTCCACCCTAGGGGTGGACTGAACTATAAAAACCCCTATTTTTTATGATTGACTTAACCTTAAATTTCCCATATTTTTTAATAAGTTAAAGTGATCAACTGGGACGTGTCCACACAGAATGCAAGACAACAGAATGAATATTATCAGCTCTTCATCATAAGTGAAATAGAATTATTGGTGACCTCATTCCATCAGGGAAAACCTGTGCCCACACCATTCAATGGGGGGATGAAAGAAACCAGCGGCGCCCAACATGTGTATCCTGTGAGTAGGAGATCGGATTGGCTTTCAAAGGGCTTGGTGCTAAGAGGGTCAAACCGAAGATACACATTGTGCAGTTGGGTGTTGGGGATGAAAGAAATCAGCGGCGCCCAACATGCACATCTTAGCGTGCATTGGGAACATCTTCCGTATTTATTATTAGAAGATGTTCCCAATACATGGTTGGGGTGTGCTGTAAACGTTTGTAAATTCTTTTCATGGTGGTTGTTAAAGCCATGTTACTACAAAATTGATTTTTTTTAAAAGGATTTGAATATGATGTTTGAAAGACATGATGCCGAGAAACTTACAACCAATCAACCTCACTCAACAGTAACCAATCAGGTGGTAGTGGTCTTGGACTCTCAATTGGACCTGATTTGGTTCAATATGATCCAGTCCAATAGGAGTCCATTACAAGTGGATTAGGTCCAATCCAATATGATGAATGTTTTGGACTACTTTGGACCAGTCCAATCCAACATCTGGACCGTCCAATCTATTCAGATGGGTTTTAATTTAAATTGGTTCCAACCCAGACATGGTCCATTGACACATATATTCTTATCTTCTATCAATGGACCAAATATTGGTTCAATTCGGTCCAGTATAATTCCGTTATGGGTGTATTAGGTCCTATCCAAGCCAATAAATACTTTGGACCATGAAAATCTGGACTGATCCAATTCAATATGTCTTATTGATCCATCCAATCTGTCTAGGGGGTTGTGAATGGTCAAAGGGTTTTTGGTAATCATATATTTTTGGCATCATATATTATCCCTTTTTCTAAAGACAAGAAATGTGGCCTTATCCTAAATGTATGGAGCATGGGCATCTTCGCACGTGATTGGGTACACAGCCTATTAAACAACAAATATGGGCTTTTAATCTGCATATTTGGTTCTGTGGGAGTTCGCTAGAAAAACACTGCCACATCAATGCCACTTAGGTGTTAGTGTTTATTGTACATGAAACCACTACTTAGTTTCAACATTTATCAAATAAACATTAAAGATAAAAACACTTGGATTTATGTGCATGAGCCATATGGAGAAACCTCAAATTCAGATTTTTCCCAATGACTCAACGGTTATTGAAATGCCCAACCAAACAACAAAAATAATAAATATTTAAAGTGACATTTTTCCATAAAATGGTTATATGAGAAACACCCCATTTATAAATGCCATGAAATCAAACACATGCATTATTGGGGGATGCAACTTAGGCTGGATTAACTAGAACCCAAACCAAACCAAATCCACAAAAGTTAGGTGGGATGGGTTGGCGCTAGGATTAGATTTAGGGTTGAATTTTGCCAATTCAACGTTTGGTTGGGTTAAGACTGACCATTTGGGCAACCTGATCCCACTCAAACCCAACTCTACTATTGCTATTACAATAGACTCTAATCATTTGCACAACCTTTTATCGGATCTGATTCGATCCGTGTGCAACCCTAATTATAATTTACAATAAACTCTAACCTTTTTGTACTGCTATCTTCTCTCTTGTTATGCTTTTTTTTTGTGCTAATGAAATTTCGAATTATCTCATAAAAATAAATTTATTTGTATTGATTAAGCATTGGGCACTTGTATAGGGATAAAAATACCATCTAATCACCACTTGTAATATGACTTACGCGCATATTAATGTATATCAACTCAAGAGCTTGGTTGGAATTATTATATGCCAAGTGTGACAATATTGTCTTATTAATAGAAATTTGTTAATAATATAGTTCATTGACTTGACGATTGGGATAGGGATACCTTTAAACTATGTTTGGTTAGAAGGAAAAAGGTAAGAAAAAGAAAAAAAACTTATACAAGATTTATAAAGAATTTTCTGCTTTCCTTTCCTTTCCCTATTGTTTCTTTCAAACCAATGGCAACCTAAAATTAAAGTTATTATGGGGCGACATGACTTCTTCTCTTTCGAATTCCCTCATAATAAAAAATTTACCTATATTGACCATGACCAAGCACCTTATAATATGGTTTACATGCATATTAATGCATATATTTTGATATCAACTCATGAGCTGGTTTGTAATTATTATTTGTCAAGTGTGGCAATATTGCCATATTAATAGAGATTTGTTAATAATATATCTCATTGACTTGACGAAGAGCATTTTTGCCCGAGTTGGGTTTGTAATATTATATACCACTCTTGCACTGGGGCTGTACCCATCATGGGTTCACATACTCTTTTTTACTATCTATTTGTGTAGGAACATGAGCGACATGACAAAGGCAATATTAGTCTACAATTAGAATTTATAATTGGTTGCCTAGCAACTAATAATCATTTCACAATTTATGGAAAATTCTACACTTCGCAACAATAAAAACTGTGAATGGGTGACAAGAATGATCTATCACAGTAGGCATTTTGAATTTGGTTAAAGTTTTAATGGCAATTACATCTTACAAAATACAAACTGACAAAAAAAAATGTCTGAATGTTAAAATATTTTTTTAAAATATGGATGAACATGTCTGAATGTATTTGAGTATGCTTGGATATATTTTGATATTATTGTAAATTTTAATTATTTATTTAAAAAAAATGAAATGAAATAAAACTCAAAAATAATGGTGGATCCCCATAGAAATGCTATGGGGATGGGATGGCGAAAACCAAATCCCACTTGGTGGGGACGGGGATGGAAAATTTTGTGGGGATGAGGATAAGTAATGAAAATGCATGTTGAATTTTTTGAAGCATGGCCAAAAACTTGTTCTCGTGGATAAAACTTAAAAGAAGATTGTATGGTTATTGAGATGACAATATAGTAAGATGGATTTGCTAAAAGGTGAATTAGATCTTACTATACATATGTTTCTATTTTTGTTTTTGATACAACTAAAATTGGCCATCGGTCAAAAGTTGTGGGGGCAAAGTAGTTAATTGACCTCACATCACCTCAAAAGTCCTAGTTGACCTAAGAGCAGCTAATTTGGTTGAGCCAGCTGACTTAGCTGAGTTGATCTGACCAATTAAGCTCACTTAGGCTTGCCTGACTTATATGATTTGACATAGCCAAGCTCACCTAGCCTAGTTAATTTGGCCAAGCCAACCTATTCCTATTCTGATTAAGCTGACCTGATACAAACTCATGACACATGCAATTGGTCAATCGACTACATGTGTGACATATACTTTCCTGTATGAAACTCCTCTCTTATAAATAGGTGGGCTCCTCATTTGTTTGGATATACTAAACTAGATACTACATACAAGACACACCAGACATTGAGGATTGGCACACCTCACTATATTTCACCTCATCTCATATTATGTTTCAATGAGCTCTTCAACTCATTTTCTCTATTTTTGATGTTACTGGTTTGACCATCAGAGTCCACGCCCTCAGGATATCATCCCAAGGTCTCTGTTACAAACCAAAGTGACACCTTATCAGGTGGTGAAGTTACCAACAAATTTTCAATTTCATTCTTGTTGCTAATTTTGATAGTAGAAAATGGTGATATCTATGAGAAACTGAACAAAAATCCCATTCCACCCAAGCAGAACTATACAATTTTGTCTCATGTTACGTTAACATATGGCATTAGGGGTGAGCAAACGGTTTATTTTGTTAAAAATCAAACTAAATAAACTGAGATTTTTAAAACCAAAAATTTAAATGAAAACTGAACTGAAACCAAAATATTGAAAAACTGAAATAACTGAAATCAAAATTTTCCGTTAAAACCGAATTTCAACACTATATATATTTTAATATATATTATATATGTATTATATATTAATATATATATTATAGATAATAAAATTCAGTTTTTTTAATTAACTGAATTTTTAAATCTGAAAACCAAAACCAAAATAATCGAATGCCAAAAAAACCAAAATCAAAATTTTTAGTTCAGTTTTTCGATTTTAACCGAGTAATACTCACCTTTATATTGACACCCTCCCTTGTTACTTGTATGGAAACAAAGGGAAAAAAAAAACATCTAACCACAACTTATAATATGATTTACACGCATGTTATTGTATACTAATTGTTTATATGTATATCAAGTCGCTAGCTGGGTTCTACTATTATTATTTGTCGAAGAATGGTGATATTGTCATATACATATGGGTTTGTTAATAATATAACTCATTGACTCGACGAAGAGCATCTTTTGCCCTGCCAAATTTAGTCGGGCTTAGCAAATTATTGATCCATGCCATCCAAGCATTGTATACATTTATATGGAACAAATATTTTATTTATTATATCGATAGGTGATATTCATCTATAATTAGTCTTTTAAGTGCCGTTTGGAAAGTCTTTTTCTGAAAGATTTTTTTAGAAGATTTTATAATTAAAAGATATTGATAACTGATTGTTTGAAAGTACTTCTTTCGCGTGTTTTGAAGACAAAACGAAAAAACTGAAAAAGGCTCTTTGTCGAGTTTTCTGAAAATAGCCCATAACATGCTTTCTGTGTCTTTTCGGGACTCTTTTGGTGGTTACATCTTCTCTCAATCAATGAGAAAAAAATAAAACGTGAACTGCCAAGCTTCTAAATAACTGAACACCAAACGGAGCCTTAATTAGTTGAAGAAATTCATTTTTATTGCTTTTATTTGAAGTGTGAATTGGGATTGGCTGGAATGACAGTTAAATATGTTAGCCTGTTAGGTATCGATTCATCACTTGCAAATTCCATTTGAAGGAGATATTAGTGATGGCAAGGAGGCGTTTAGAGGTAACCGTTGTTTCTGAGAGAGACCTCAACGATGTAAGGAAATTGTTCAAAATGAAGGTCTACGCCATGGTTGGCCTGGCTAGCAGTGACCAACACCACTTCCAGAAAACCCACATCGACAGAGAAGGCATGACTGATCCCACCTGGAATGTCACCATGACGTTTACTGTTGAAGATGATCCGGATCTGAATCAGGATAAGCTCATCTTCAAGCTCTTTTGTAAACGCAAGCTGGGCGACAGGTACATCGGAGAGGTGAGTATGCCTGTCCAAGATCTCCTCAGAACAGCCTCCGACACCGGCGGTACTCTTACACAACAAATCACCAGACCAGTTAGGCTCGAAAGCGGGGGTACACAAGGTGTACTGACTTTCTCGTATAGGTTTCATGAAAAATTTGTTGGCGAAGAGTTGGGTGTACAGACGCCCCAGTTGCCGGGCCAAGAGCAGCAGCAACAATCACCACCGCCGCGTTCAACCCTTGGCCAATTTCTAGTGTCGACGGCGCAGCTGGTCGTGACGTCGGTTGCAACCGAAGCGATCATAGAATCAATCATGCAATGACGAAGCTGGTGTTTAGCGAAAAAGGAACGGGATCATATCAACATGAGAAGATGGATCTCCAACAGAGAAAGCCGATGTAGCAGAGAGAGAGGGGTTTTGGGAGGGAGCTTTGTAATCGTTCGACAGGGATTGGGGGAGTTCACGTCAGCGCCCCACAGTACGTCCCGTCCGTGAATTGGGAATATCTGGGGCGCTGATGTGAATTCCAGATTACCGGACGGGGGTGGTGAGGTGGTCTATTCCCGCACATGAGAGTGAGACATACGTGCGGTGTAAAAGCATTTGCGTTGACTGATTTTCAAAATATTGTACAACTCATCAGTGACAGGTTAACAGCTGGTCAATTCACTTCTCACCATTCACCAATGATGCGATTTTCTTACAAAATGTAACTTTCCTATTCTAATCCTCGTCATCATCTAATCCTTGCCCCAATCATATAGAATCGGATACGTTAATCTTGTTTCACCATTTGGTTGTATTTAACGGAGTCTGCTCTTTATACAGCGCTCCTCGCATGCACGTCTCACCATGTATCAGAATATCTTTTTCAATATACGGTAGGATGTATCTGTCACATCAGGTGCACTCTATAAACAAATCCAAATTCACATGCTTCATTAAATTAGAAGTGCAACTTGTGCCACTTGAGAAGTCAAAATTTCAATGCCAAAAGTCTAAGCCCAGTGCAATATAAATTCTACAAATTAGGGGACGATTTTCTCATAAATGATGGTTTTCAAAATGTCATTGATCCAGGAAACCGGACTGGTTAGTCCGAAAACCGGTTAGACAATCTGAACCATTTCTATGCTAAAAACTGTTGATTTGGTCAACGACATATTGATCCCACCAATTGAACTATCGACCTATTTCAACAATGATTTTTGCATTTTTTTTTACTTATTTTTTCTTTTTTTATTTTTATTCTTATTTTGTAAGTTACATCGAGTAGTTCATGATTTTTAAAACCTTAAATCATTTCTCCTACTTCTCCTCAATCCTTGTCGGTTTGACACTAGCTCTTCTAGCCACTTTAACTTGCCCTGTTAGTTGAATAGTTAATTATTAGGTTGGATTCAACCCCAAATTGCATTTAGCTGGCAAAATATCTCACAACTTCTCTCATCAATCATTTTTAATTTGGTTCTCCACTTGAAAATCTCATCTCATCTGCACGGGCTGCCAAGTGGCCTCCTTGTTCATTGACAATAAGGTGTTTAGCTAATTGATTTGTAGGCTTTTAATTTCATCCAAAGCATTGAATGTATTGGATCAAGTAATTGATTAATTGGTTAATATTTTATCTTCACCCCAAAGCATAGCGGCCATCATCTTTGTTAATCAACCAACATAAAAAAGGAAGATAGACTAATATAGAGGAGGAGCTAATCCACTTTTCCCTTAAACTCAATACAATAGCACACTCCCTTAACTACTCAACCTTGCCCAAAAGTGCAAAATACATAGGCACCAACAAAGCAAAGCGAAAGATAGCACTTATTTCCCTATCTCTTAGTGAGGGTGTCAATGGACCGGTTTTGGATTGAATCCCATCTAGTCCAAAATCAATTTGGATAGATTGGATGAACCAACAAGACATATTGGATTAGACCAATCTGGTCCAAAATATTAAATTAGATTGGACCTGATCCATATGTAACAAATTTATATTGGATTGGATTGCATTAAGCCAATATTTGATCTATTAAAATAAGATAAGAATATATGTGTCAATGGATCGGGTTTAGGTTGAAACCAATCTAAAGCAAAATAAATTTGAACAGATTGGACAGTCCAGGCATCAAATTGAACAAATCCAAATTGGTCTAAAGCATTCATTGAATTGGATTGGACCTAGTCCATTTATAATAAATTCAAATTGAACTGGATTGGGTTCAACCAAATCCAGTCCAATTGACACCCTATCTCATAGTATGGAAGACTTTATTCCTTGTGGAATTATAAAAGTTTTTTAATATCTCTTAAAGCCCCGTTTGCTTTTCAGTAAGTTACTTACATGGGTAAATGCAATTACCTGGGTAAGTTTTTCCTAGGAAACACTTTCTCGGGTAGATTCATTTACCCATGTTCTTTTATTTACTATGAAAATAAGGTAATGGCCATTTTAGCCATAAAAATCCATTATTAAAAGGGGCATTTTTGTCCCATTCAAGTGTTAGCAACTTTCCCCTTAGGTGGGAAAGTTATTTACCCACCTAGGAGATGGAGGTAAGTGATACACAGGAAAATAAACTTTCCCTGGTCCCCACATAAATCTGAAAAATGAACATGGGATTCTTGGTCAATGGGAACCAAAATCCCATTGACCAACTTTCCCCCCTCTCAAAAAMAAAAAAAAAAAAAAAAGAACACCCCCTAAAAAGTAAAACCAAGGAGAGAAAGGTTTATTGAGAAGAATTCCATTTAAGCACTTATTGTCACAACCCACATCTATTGCAGCAATTAATGCCATTATTATAGCAAAGAGGGAAGCCGTCATAGTGAGCCATGCATAGAGGAACCGTTCACATAATAATTGTAGAAGGCTAAACAGAGAGCTTATTTAGGCTCCGTTTGCTTTTCAGTAAGTTACTTACTCGGGTAAATGCAGTACATGGGTAAGTTTTACCTAGGAAACACTTACTTGGGTAAGTGCATTTACCTATGTTCTTTTATTTCTCACGTAAATAAGGCAATGACCATTTTATCCATAAAAATCCATTATTAAAAAGGGCATTTTTGTCCCATTCAAGTGTTGGAAACTTTCCCCCTGGGTGGGAAAGTTATTTACCCACCTAGGAGATGGGTATCATTTACCCAGGTAAGTGATACCCAAGAAAATAAACTTTCCCTAGTCCCCACATAAATTTGAAAAAAGAACATGAGATTCTTGGTCAATGGGAACTAAAATCTCATTGACCAACTTCCCCCCCCCCCCCTTATCAAAATCCAAAAAAAGAATGTTCCCTTAGAGTTTCTAATAATATCTCCACTGGAACTCTCACCTAGGTTGCCACAACAAGAGACATCACTATTGAATTTGAAGTGGAAGTGTGAAGGGAATTGCCAACAAACCTATTGGAATCTTTCCCTTCTGACGAGGTAAAAGTTTGATTGGATAAGGTTTGGTTTCTTGTTTAAATGTCCCTGTAGATGTAACAATCATCTTTTTTTTTTTTGTTAATAGTTTTCCCAATTGATTGCTAGAGCCTATAACTAGTCCAATATTCCTTTTAGGGAGACTGACCATTCAGCCTAGGGTCAAAATTCATAGGCCTAAAGTACAGTTGGGGTAGGTTCCAGCTCGGAATTGATGCCAATTTATGGGTGGGTATGGGTGCATAGGGTGTGGGTTTTTGACCTTTTGAATGTTTATAAATTTGTAGCATAATTCAGAATTCTGCATTAGGCCTATCCGTACTTCTCCGTTCCTTTTAAACTAAGGGCTGATTCGATATGATTTTATTTTTGGTTGGACCATGATGTTGATATCGAAAAGACTCATAACCAATCAACCAGGATTATCATAATAGACATAATTTTCATACCTTTATAGAATTATAAATTTTCCCTTTATTTATTTCCTTTTGTCCTCATAACATCCCTGTCACAAGATGCAAAATACCATACTCCTTTGACTCGATTTGGAAAGAGTACAAATATAAATATGTACAATACAAAATAATAAAAAATATATGGTTTTGCACTCTACACATTTGTATTTGTACTCCTTCCAAATTGAGCCGTTCTAACAAATCGATCCTGTGCAAGTAAGGTCCACCTGCCTTATCAGAGAAGACTTGCAATTATGTGGATTTGTTCCTACATTTATCCATTTGGAGAGACACCCATTGATGACATCAGTTACTATAGGGTTGTTAATGACCCAATAAGAAATACTAAGGGTCCAGAACCTAACTAGAACCAACTGAAAATTTAGAGCTCAGATCTCCCATCCACATTCCTACCCACTACCCACATGACACTACAGTTGTGCAAGTTGACTTGGTAATCAGCTCTCAAACTATCAAACATTGACAACCAAAGCCTACCTCCCTCTCTCTAGTACTCTTTGTTGCACCCTTGTTATGAACCTTACTTTTTTCTTTATAAATTTATTTTTTAAAAGTTAAATAAAAGAAAAAGGGGCAAAATGACCCAATCGATCTAATGGAGCGTGATCTGGTGCTCCTTGCTGGGGACAACTCGGATGCTGAAGTGGTGAGATCGGCTGGCCAAGCTACAAGAAAGTAATGATCAGAGTACTTGGGGTGGGTACTCCGATGCTTAAGTTATGGATGCTAAAAAGCGAGAGCTTATAGAGCTTGAATGCTAAATTGAGCGTACATTCTCTAATCAAAAGGATGCCTTTATATAGGTGCAAGTTGTTGTGGACTTCACGTAGTGAGTTCCAGATCTTTTGGAGGACATAGCTTACCGGTCTGCCTCGTCTGGAGGTGGTTTCACGGTCTGAGATGGCTTTTGTGTAAAGCAGTTGAGTTTATCTGGTTGCCTCCAAAGCAAATGGGGTGGGAGTTAGCTCCGTCAATGAGGCAATGTGATCTAGGAGGACTTGGAGACAATAACCCATACATAAAGGAGGTCGTCCACCACATAATACAGGTCACCAATCGGGCCTTGGTCTGGTCGGCGATGAGAGGTCTCCCCTTATGCTGAGGTGCCTACAGATCGGCCCTACGAGGTAATGTCGATACTCTCTTTCAGTGTTCATGAGGTTTCTGAGGTGTGTTTGATGTCATTGCCTACATGGCGCTGAGGTGTCATGTGTCGATTCTGGGTGCCACATGTTGCAATGTCATTGGAGGGCCAAATCACCCCCCATCACGATCTATGAGAGACAGGTTCTTCTTCTTTGGCTCAATGGTTTTTAATACTGCTTGAGCATCAAATGAACACTGGCAAAGCACCGATAGCGACAATTAATAAAATATTGTTTCTCCAACTGTACTAATTAAGTTTTACTTTCTTGATTCAAC